TTAAAAATGACAAGCAAGGAGGCCTTCCCAGCAAAGTAGGTTAGCAAGGTACAGGGAATACACTGTTATCAGAAAGCATAAGATTTGTTCTTAAGTTGCTGTGAGACATTATCAGATATATGGCTTATAAGTGCTAACATCATCAGAATTAAAAGGGGAAGATGATCAGTGATATCTTCATGGAATGAAGGGTAGAATTTAGAAAATAAGGACTGAAGTGGAGGCCAGAAAAAGGCAAAGGCATAGAACAATATTCTCAGTTACCATACAGAAGTGGTGACATGTAAATTCATGTCCTAGTTGGATAAGAATCCTATTTTGACCAGACTGCTTAAACATAGTCTTCCTATAATAGATGAAAGGGAGATAAGGCTGAATAGGCATCATTCTGCCACATTGGGAGAACACTGAAACCAAAGCTGAATCTATATTGGGATTTCCAAAATTTCTGCCAGCAATCAAAGTTCATTGTGACACTTGGAGCAAAAAACAAACAAAAAAAAATGTACATAAACATAGTATGAAACTGTGGCTAAACATGTAGGTCCCTAAATGAATCCCCCATATGCTTCTCCACAATCTACTTCACTATCTCATATATATATTGTGTATTTCCATATTTATATATAATCATAATGTACATATATATCTCACAATTATTTTGCAAAGAGGCCATAGTGGTTTCTGCAGGACTATTCTAGAACTATATACTGGGTGGGGAAAGTAGTTGCATGGCATAGGGTGTCACATATAATCCACAGATCGTGAACATCTGGAACCTAACATCTCAACTGTGGTGCTTCTGTTCTGGGGACAATTTTGCCCCCTGGGGATGAATATATATATATACACACACATACATATACATATATATAATAGATAATGATTTTCTAGACTCTAGATAAATAGTCATCCACCCTTGAACTCATAGCATTTGACTTTAGCATCTTCCTTTCCCTTGCTCCTGAATGCTAGGAGATACTTTTGGAAAACATTCAGAAATCTGTGCAAAACAGTATTGCTCCCTGGGAGGCTATATCACAAACGGTAATATGACTATTTCTTGTCTCATCTCTTAAGAGATGTCATTATGATGGTCACTGGTTGTCTTGTCAAAGCAAGTGATAGGAAACTCTTATAATTCCTGAATAGAATGGTGTAGTGTATACACAGCTCTTTCTTTAGATTATTGGTGGCCTTAAACATGCATGTAATTTGGCTTTAAAGTTATGGGATACTAGTGGGCCTTAGGATAATCTTCCTTGTTTTACAGTGGGACCAGTAGAGGCACAGAATGCCAAAGTGACTTGCCTTAGGAGACACAGCTAACTTCTACAGCCAGGACTACAATCCAAATCTACATTCCAGTGTTTTTCTCATGTCAAAATAATTACATCTTACTGAATCTCATTAGCTTTAAATTAAAAAGAGAGCATTCTGTAACAACAGGTTACAGGTATACAACAGAATTTCTCAAACTCAACACTGTATGTATTTGGATTGGTTAATTCTTTGTTGCAGGGTGGGGATGGGGCTTCCTGTGCACTATGGTGTGATTATCACATTCCTAACCCTTATCCACTAGATGCCAGAGTCACCCTCTCTTCCCTATTGCAGCAAAATGTCTCCAGACATTGCCAAATATCCCCAGGAGGCAAAACTGCCCCCAGTTGAGAATCACTGCTATTGAGCTATTAGATTACAGGTGCTGTTCATGAACTGTGAATTAATTTTAACATCCTATACCCCACAATCACTTCCTCCACCCAGCATATAGTTCTAGAATAGTTCTTCAGAAGCCAGAATGACCTAACTTAAGGGCCTCCTTCCAAGAATCTCACATCTCTAACCTAACAGCATAGGGCTTTTCCCAGGTGCTCTGGTTTCCCCGAGGTGTTAACTCCATTGTTGGAATCAAGTTTTTCCAGGCTAGCCAAGGTTACAGGTCCTTGTCTCATCTATTTCATTCATTACTTCAGCTGGCATTTGAGTACAAGATATGCTAAATACTGTCCTGGGCACTGGGAAGGCAGAGCTAATAGGTAATATCTCTGATCTCCAGTAGCCCAGTCTGTTGTGGAGACATCCATATATACAAGAGCTCTCGTCAACCCTGTGATGAGTCTTGGAGAGATGTATGTTCAGGATGCTATGCAATGAGGGAATGTACCAAATTCACAGTAAGGATGGCCACAGGGTACCCTCCATGCAGACATCACACTGAGGGTGGTCAAGGACAAATCAAAGACAAATCAAAATAGACAGGTAGGTAACAGGTTTGCCAGTTAAAGGAAGTAGCATACTAAAAATAAAGAACCAGAAATCCTGGCTTCTTCTGGCTTTAGTATCAACATAGGAGGAGAAATGGAACTGGAGAAGAGGCAGGGTTCAGGTCAGGAGGAACCAATTGTACTGGGCCAAGGACTTTGGAATTGATTGTGAAGATAAGTAGAAGCTGGGAGGAGAGTGAGTCAGATTTGCATTTTAGAAAGATCTGTAGCACAGAAAATCACACAGATGGGAGAGACAAAGCAAAAGCACAGTTTACCTGAAGGTAAACACCTGATATCAGTCCTGCCAGAAATCCCTCTTGCTTTCTTACCCCACGTTGAGAGGGATTCCCCTCCTAGGAGAGCTACTACTAGCAGACCTGACAAGAAGAGAAGCAGAGGTACAGCCTCTTCTGCCACACAGGAATGTGGGAGGAGGAAACCTTTTCACACCAACGCAGAAGAACTTTTTCTTCTGGAAGTTAAAACTTCTCAGAGTGGTTGGATTCCCTTGTCATCCAAATCTCCTACTCAGGATTCAGAATCTCTTGTTCCCAGAAAGACATATAATCAATTTTCCAATTTTACAATATATGGTTCAGCTTATTTGTGGCTTAAAGGTGTCTTGTGTATACATGCCTGTATGTGGACATTAATTGTTGAACTTGTGGTTGTTTCTATGGGAAAATGAATTACAGATTGACTTTCAGAATATAATGCATTTGCTAGCTGTAACCTATGCATGCCTAGGCAGAGAAATGACAGTAGGAGCAAAAATGACAGTAGCCAAATGCACCACACCAGCTGAGATTAGAACTCTTCCATTTAAAAGACTGGGGTCATTTAGGAGCAATGCAACTGACCACACAAAATGCAAATTGGAAGTGGCTCTAGGTGGTTTTTCAGGTCTAGCTCTGGCTAAACTATATGAAGCGCAGTAGCTATTTCAGGGCCTGCACAAAGCAGGTGTTCTACCAATGTTTGGAAAGTGAACTGAGTGTGTTGAAATGGATGTAGTCCTGGTTCAATGAGACTTAAGAAAAATTCCCGGATGAGGGAGGCTCTGAGTTTTTGAACAAAAGAAAGAGATGAAAAGACAGCACTGTTTAGCCTTGAAGGACAGTGAAAGAGTGCTAGAAAGTCCTTGTACCTGTGCTTATGGGACAGATATTCCAGTCTCTTGGGGACAGAGGCTGCCCCTTTGGATGTTAGGTTGCTATGAGTAATTCACAAGAATGTCAGTAAATGGGATCAACTGAAATATTTAGTGTTAGTTCCATAACCCATTGTTGATTTGCAGGTGACAATGGTGACCTTCTCTGATTCATTCATTAATCAGATGGCCCTGAATTCCTAAAATACTTAATAAAATCCCAACAGTTGTCATTAGGAGCCATCAAATCTAGCAGAAGCCTCTTTTTTCGTTCTTCAACTGACCTCACCTATCTCTAGCCTCTACCAGTTCCAACCCACGTTGGTTACTGAAGGCAAATTTGCTTTCTTAAAACAATGCTTTGGTTAGGTCACGTCCCTTTTCAAAACCTTGTTACCACCTCCCAAATGCCTGAGGAATGAAGTCCAAACCTCTAGCCTGCCTTTTAAGATCCTGCAGATTCCCCATCTGCACATTCTGCCCACGCCCACCTTTCTTGGACTGGAGGCAACATGGTACTCTTGGTGTCCCCTACTTTGGCTGTCCTCATTCCTGCCACTGTGCTTTGCTTTCACTTCAGCAACCTGAAACCCTCAATTCCTGAGTGTGGTCTACGCACTGAAGTAGAAGTCTGAGCTCATGTTATTCACTTCCCACTCACTCCTCTCCGTTACTTCCAGGGAATTCTGTTTCTGGCTTACCTGTGAAGGGGAGGATGCTTTTTTCCACTAGGATACTGCCCTTCCGTAGCCATAATCAGTGCAGCATAAATGGACAACTCAAGGCTCTAGCAAGATGCTCAGGACATCCTGGGCACTCAACAAACATCTGCTGATCTTACTGGACTCATTCAAGTAATTCCACTTTATTCATTTAAGACTCCCATTGCATTTTCTCCTAGGCCAGGGACTTTCCTCGCTACCGCCTCACGCCTTCAGTGAGAAAAATCATCTTAATTATCTTAACATCGACAAAATTGGCTTTGACATATTAAAAAGCATAATTTCCTTTGTAACTCTGTAACCAACAAGAAATCCCCAATTTCCCCAACCTAGTCCTACCCAGTACTGAATTTCAGCTTCCTTGAAAATAACTGACCTGGATCATTTCTTGCTAAATAAAACTTTGCATCTTATCTGCAGGGCCAAAAAATCACCCCTCCCCAAATTCTCTAGGTGAGAAAAAATAAAAAGGTTTTTAAAATGGAGGTGTCAAGGTGAAACGTCTGCAGGCAGGAACAGTACACAGGTGCTGAGCTGCAAAATCAACGCGTTGAACACCCAAACAGACCTAGAGGAACCAAGAGCTCTTTACCCATCTTAATGTTCTCTTGCTGTTATTGTAGGGTCTTTTCGAGAAAAAAAACGCCCCTCTCATTGGCCTTACCATTTTTCGTCCTCCACTTACTACTGTGTGTGTATTTGACTTGTTTATCTGGGAGCAATCTTGGCCGCACGCAGTCCTCTTGCTCTGGGACCGGGACTACCACGTTTCCTTAAATCAGAGCCCCGTGGACTCCACACGGGAACTACATTACCCAGAGGCCTCCGCGCCCTTCGCAGGAAGGACGTCTGCGCACTAAGATACTCAGTTCCAAGTTTGGAGCTTTTAGCTGCCAGCCCTGGCCCATCATGTAGCTGCAGCACAGCCTTCCCTAACGTTGCAACTTGGGGGGAAAATCACTTTCCAGTCTGTTTTGCAAGGTGTGCATTTCCATCTTGATTCCCTGAAAGTCTATCTGCTGCATCGGTCAAGAGAAACTCTACTTGCATGAAGATTGCACGCCTGCAGCTTGCATCTTTGTTGCAAAACTAGCTACAGAAGAGAAGCAAGGCAAAGTCTTTTGTGCTCCCCTCCCCCATCAAAGGAAAGGGGAAAATGTCTCAGTCGAAAGGTAAGAGACTATTTGCATTACTTGCAAAAATGCAAAGGGTTGTGCATGCATTTATGAATGCATGGATGCAATTTTCGCCGGGCGATTGCATTTTTAAGTTTGAGGTTTTCCACAGCTCAGTTGCATTTCCTGTTTAGTATGTGTCTTTTTTTGCAGACACAGAGAGTTCCTGTAAGGCAGGGCTTGCAGTTCAGCTGTGCATTGACGTTATTTGCATTCTTCTGCTAGGATTACCGAGCTCTTTTTGCCTTTTGCACAGTCAGGAGAGATCTAGCAGGTTGGTAGCGTCTAAATGTGCAATGCTTTATATAATTGTAAAATTCTTTAGTATGCACACATATTATAAGTAATTTTGTGTGCAACAGGAATTCGAACTTTTAAAAACTCTCCAGGTGAAGATGAAAGGTAAAACTTGAGTTAAACTAGTCGGAAATTAATGTAATCTTATATTCTTTGGGGAATGAACCGTTGCGGTGCCAGTATTTAGCTGAATTTTCATTGATTTCGCTTCGAGCATTAGGCAACTTTTGATTTTTAAAGGAAGTAAAGGTGAAGTGTGGATACCAGCATATTACAAAAAAGCAGACAAGAAGTCTTGCTCTTCTGAAATTTTGCACTTTACACCAATTGCTTGTTGGCTCTCAGTATTTAGAAGCAGTTGTAGGGAATCTAGATGTGTTTGCCTATTTGGAAGATGCTTTGCACTTGGGGGGGTAAATATTAGGGGGAAAACTGTACTTTTAAGTACTGAAGCAACATGAAGGGACAGTATGTTGCATTGACAGCCATAATGAAATCTTTTAAGTTTGTAATTATGTATATTTAATCAGCAATAATAGCTCAGAAGTTCAGGACTAAGGTTGCTTTCTTTTCTGTTCCCTTAATTTTTTTTTTTTAACAGAGTTGTATTTTGTAGGCTTATTATCATCTTGGGGAGGGAATTTAAAAAAATTCCTGATGTGGCATCAGAGAGCTGAAGGGGTGCTGTCAGATACCCTGGGGACCCTTTAGTCACTTGTTTGGGAACAATTCCTACTTTCCCTTAAAGAAAGCACATGCCATCTGAGAATGCATGGAATGAAGTTAGGTCCTAGTGATTTAGGCTACCTGCGGCAATATTGGAGTAAGATTTGGTGGAATTAAAGTATCTGATAAGCTTTTTGCTTTACTTCAGAACTGTTAAACCATTTTTTAATTCTTTCTGATGAAAGTCATGTATCTGAACCTAAGTAGAGAGCAATAGTCACTGAAGTTCAAAGTAGGACTCTGCTTTTCTTTGAGTATTAGAAGAGAATGAAATTCTGAAAAGATAAGAGTGCTGAAGAACCTAGGAGTTGGCATCGTAAGGAGGCAATGTTCCTTAAGTAGAAAAAAACCTAGAGTCTTCTCATTGAGTAGAGAAAAAAGTTTAGAAAGGACAGTCTTGGCATATTAAAGAGATGGCATCTAGTTATGTTGTATTTGTTAAACATTCACTTAATTTAGCTTAATGTATGTATAAACACATATTGTGATATACATTTTTATATATGTATGTTTGTGTGCACAGAACTTGGGGCACACCAGTATATCTAAAAGGAACAGTGAACCAATGAAGTCTTTTCCTTCAAGGAGTTTATGCCATCTGGTTGGTGAAAACCAGCATGTGGGGATACCCTTACACCACAAGATAGTAGGACAGGTATTGGAGAGAAATGGTGCTATCAGAGTTTCCATTGAGTGATCCTTCCATGTGGGGGTCAGTGAGGAAACTTCATGAAAAAAGAGGTGTGTGCTCTGGTATTTCCTTTGGACATGAGGGTCTAAACTAAGTCAGGTCCCTTTCTGCATCTTTTTGGCTCACTCATAAGGTAGAGCTCCCTCTTAGTAGAGCAAGCTTTGACTTTGGGAAGCGAGTCAGGGATGGTAGGTGACACTCCTCCATTGAGGGTGTGCCTGGTAGTCCTTCAAATTCATTTTCATTTACCCAGATGAGCATTCCTTAACTAGATCCAGTTTGGAAAGTGTATCTGGTATGAACATGGAGTTTTTGTCCAAAAGGAAAATTATTGGTGCAGAGAAGTGGGTGATCATTTTCGAAATGGCAAAGGAGACTTGGCCTGGACTTTCAGCATGGAATTGGCCTAATTCAGCTTTGCTATCCTCGAATGGCCAAAATGCTTTTTACAGTGCTACACTTTTTTTTTTTTCTAATACTCTAGCCAAATGAAATGGGAGGAAAAGTGAAAGGTGGGTACAATCTCATAGTATTGAAGGATTTAACAACATGTTCAATTCAAGGACCTTTACGAACTTTCTAGATCACTATAATTCGGATTTACAGACCTCTAATTTAAGGCACAGCAGAAGCAAAGAATTACAGACTGCCCAGGAGCTGGAAGGACTGGGTTGCTTCTTTCCAGCCTTACCAACAGTGAGATTCCAAGAAAGAATTTCTTAAAAAGAAATTTTGTTTTCCACAGTTGTAACTTTAGGTGGTATGCTTTTCAGCTTGTTTATATTAGCTGTCTGGGGTTGAGCTGACATTTTTCAAATATTAAAGCAGTAGTATGCCTTTTGAGGAAATCTGAAATGTAAGTTAACAGGAAGGGCACCCAGAAAGTGCAGGAATTCCTGCACATTACAGGAAGACAAGCTACAGGAAAAATGTGTCATCTACACTACCCAGGAGAGAAAAAAACTATTGTTATCAGCCAGAATGTTCTTCTAGGGGAGGGAGGGGAAAAGCGAGGGAGGGAGGTCTGGCATCTCCCAATTCACCTGAAAATAGACAAAAAGTTTGACCTTGTTAAAATGCACTCGTTCTCACTTCTTTTCCTATTCACTCTCAAAAACTATGAGTTTATTTTAGTTGAATATCATAGTTAGTAAATCATGCAAGAAATGCCTATAAAGCATAATTCAGAAGCGTGTGGTGGAGTGGAAGGAAAGAGCTTAACCCTACTGAGATCTTTTCTTCTGTAATTCATTCCACATTGGGAAATGAGATGTGTAAATTTCCCATTCTGTATAAATTCCTTTGTTAGGTTGTACCAGACAGACTTGTCACGCTTAGTCTGTAATCTGAGCCAGTATGTTTTATAACTCCGTACATCTCAGGACACAAAAATCAGAATAGGTACTTGGGTCTCCTGAGTTTGTTTTGTATCTGGGTTGCCTTTAGTTCTTTATAGAACCATGTATATTAGCTAAAGGGGTCTTCAGGGGGGCTCTTGGTGGAAAATTCAGTGCTACACCCTACTCTTTTTAGAAAAAGAAAATAAGAATGGCTACTTACTGCAGTACATATTTTGTCATATGGCCTTTTGGATTCTCTATATATGTATGTGAAAAATCCAAAATGTTCATAAAACTGAGGTCTTAGTTAACTTTTGTTTCACTTACCCAATATATTGTAAAGTATTTCCCAGTTAATGTATTTCTGTATTCATAATATCCAATTCCATTGCATTTACTTAGATAAAATCATAATATTTGTTAACTCTCTATTTCATGAATATTGGCATGATGATCATCCCAGTTTGCACACTACTGCAATGGACTAAATTCCAGGAAATGAACTGCTGGTGATAAGCGTCCGTCCAATTCTTTCTCATGCTCCATTTTTTCTCTAACCCTTGAAAATAACTTCTTTTATTATTACAAAAATAAAAGCTGGGGGCAGGTGGCTCACACCTGTAATCCTAGCTACTTGGGAGACTGAGATAAGGAAAATCATGGTTTTGGGACAGCCCAGGCAAATAGTTTGTGAGACCTCCCCCCACCATTTCCAAAATAACCAGAGCAAAATGACTGGAGGTGTGGCTCAAGTGGTAGAGCACCTGCTTTACAAGTGTGAAGTCCTGAGTTCAAACCTCAGTCCCACCAAAAAAACCAAACATTATATATGTATATATACACATACATTTATATACATGTGCATGCACACACACACACATACACACACACACACACACACACACACACACATATATACACACTTAGAGACACACACACACATTGAAAAAATTTAAACCAAAGGGGAATTCCTGGTAAGAGTATAAAATTTATCTACCCCAAACTAATTACTGTTAACTTTTTGATGACTATTTTTGCATTCATACACACGTATACATCCACATTATGTTACTATATACAATGTTTTACAACTCACCCTTTTGTATGCTACCATGTGTCTTGGACATCTTTCCATATCAGTATACCTACAGTTACCTCATTCTTTTTCACAGTTGCATATTTTAATTGGTAAGAATATAGCCATTTAATTACTCAATCTCCCATTGAACTTTCACATAGTTTCCACTTTTATTTACAGTTATAAACAACACTCCCTGGAAATACCTTCCACAACATATTTGCACATTTACCTAGTTATTTCTTTAGAGTTATTCCTAGAAGTGGAAGTCCTGGGTCAAAGGACATGCGTGGATATATTGCAAAATGCTCTTCTGAGAGGTATCCCTGAGTCTCATTGCCTCCAATAATCTTTGGAAATGCCAAATCTCTCTCTCAAGCATTAAATAGACTTCCAAATAATTTTCTGTCCCAAAAGGGATAAGTTTTTCTCATCGTGGGTCTAATACCTTGAAAAAACTCATTGCCAGTTTGATAACAGATATTTAGACTCTATTCTTACTGTGTTTTTCAGTAATAATTGAATTTTTCACTTATTTTGACATTCATATTTCATGTGCTTGAGATTTTTTTCTTTCTCTCATAAAATGTGTGTTTACAATTTGAATTTGAGGATCAAATCATTTTAAAAGTTAGGCCAGAAAAATACCAAGACTGTAGAGGTTAGGTAATCATGGGTTAGAAGTTGGGTTCTATGCATCTAAACAATTTAATTCCTTCTTTTAATTTTAACCAAAATATCTTATGTAAATATCACATATTTTTAAATTCACTTTGTTTATGCTGTCTATAGCCATCCAGACCCACATGAAATAGTAAGAGAAATGTAATGATCTGATTTAAATTCCAGTTTGGGAAATAACTTA